GAAGCCACTGCCACCTCCGAAGCCACCTCCGAAGCCACCTCCGAAACCGCCTCCTCTGCCGCCCAATCCACCACAGGAGCCAAAACCTCCGCCTCCACCGGCCACACTCATGGAGATGCTCTTGGTCCCTCCAAGGCCAACAAGACTCTGGCTGCCAAAACCGCCTCCACCACCATGGCGGCTCAAGCAGGAGAAGCTGCTGCCCGACCTCCGGCTCCCACCAGAGACCACTGCAGAGCCACTGCTGAAGCTCCGGAATCCTCCACCTCCTCCTCCTCTTCCTCGAGATTTGCAAGAAATCTGACAGCTCATGATGCCTTTGCCCAGTGAGGAAAGTAGAAGGTTCCTGATAAGAGTCAAGGCTAGAGACTCAACTCCGCTGCTACGAGACTAGCAGGGTCCCTTATATACCCGCCAACTGGGTGTTAGTGTGATGGGTGTGGGCCCGCTTATGCATGGGCTTGGTCTGCCTGGAAGCTATTCCTGGTGAGTGATTATCAAGCTAATAGCCATTAAAAATCTACTAATCAGCTCCATCCCAGAACTTGCTTTGATTGCAGACTTCTCCTGTTTATCTGGGCATCTGTCATGCAACTTGATTTTTGTAAAATCATCAAAAGAGGAGATCAGGATTGGGGTTTCTCAATCTAAGGAAGGACCTTCTGCAGAATGCTGCTCCTGTTCTGGACCAACCTGAGGCAAGGCAGCTACCACCCAGGCCTGTGCATGCCCACACCCCAGTTCAGCGATGAAAGAAATGGCCGTTTTGAGACTGTGAGAGCCCCTCAAGTTTCCCTGAAACTCTTTCTTCCAGGAAGAGCTTCCGCAAGTAGAAGGGGGGCATTAAAGAACATAGTTGTGGTATGGGAATTGACATCCTCTTCCAGGAAGAAGTTGGCCAAGGATGCTGCAAAAGGGATGATATTTTGGAACCAGCAGATGGTGTAATGTTAAGTCACTAGACTTCCACATAGTCAACCATGGTTCAAGTTCCAGACGCAGGAGCTTAAAACTCACATCAGGTATATGTGCAAGTGTGCCCAAGATCCTGATTGAAGAACAGAGAAGGAATTGAGGCATGGCCATCCCCCTGGGGGATGATTTCTCGCTTTCTGTCTCTGTTTTTCCAGCAAGCACATGCACCCTATAGCAAAAATCTCTCTTAAAAAACAAAAAGTGAGAGATGATATTTTTCCGAATATCTTGGCTCTTTCTTTCCCATGCCACCCCAAAGTTACACAAGAACCAGACACCTGAGAATTTTCTTTCCCATAACCAGTAATTTTTATAATGATCAACTCTCACTTTTCTTCATAAAAACTCAGAGAATGAAGAGCCTAAGGAAAGTTTCTCTGTTCCTAAGTATGTGTGACTCCAGTCACCCACTGAAAGGTTACAATCAAAGGCTTTATACAACTCCAAATCCAGGTATACATTGATTCAATTCATAATTATGTACTGCCTGGTGATTCTCCCAAGTAATCAAGAAGTCAGGCTCAACTGTCCCCATAGCCTGGTGGTTAAGAGGAGCCAGATCCCACATGGCCAGCCTGGTTCGAGTTCCAGCCCCAGCAGCTTGGTAAATATGCCAGCCACAGATACATGTGTGCCCCAAATCCCAGTAGGATGGAAAAGAAGAAATTATGACATGACCACACGACATTGGGGGTGCTTTCTCTCTCTCTCTCCCTCTCTGCTTCTCTGGTGGGCACATGTATCCTCTGGCCAAAAAAAATAAAAATAAAAAAAAACTCTTCCATGACATACAGAGGTAGAAGAATATCAGAAGCCTCAGTCAGTCTGACCAGATCACAAAACACACAGAAAATTCACACTAAAGTTCAACCCTTCCTTTATCCGTGTGGTTAAGTACATGGAAGAGGCACTTCAGAGTAGTAAAACTGACTTTGAAGTCAGAAGTTCTGAGTTTAAGTCCCAGTTTTGCCATTTGGCCATGTGACCTCAAATTAAACTCTAAGGCTCCATATTCTTCGCTATAAAATTGGACATTCATGTGAAGTGTTTTTGAAAACGACGACGCACAGTGTAGATGTCGGATTTCCTCATTGTTTAGGGTGAGACAAAGCTATCACCTTGCCCTTCCACCCTTGGCATGCCATTCTCTCTCTGACGACCATGACCATGTACTCCACACAGGCACCCCCGAACCACTGCCACCTCCTCTGCCACCAAATCCACCACCTCTGGAGCCAAAACTGAACCAGGATGTTCAGATCCTCATATAAAGTTAGCATAAAATGATGTGGAAAGGCATAAGCTTTGAGTGCGAGTTCCCGTTTCATTCTATTTTAGTTAAGTGACCTCAGATAAGTCATCATCTTCTTTTTTTTTTTTTTTTTTTTTGGAGAGGTTTTTTCGCTATAGGGCGCGTGCGCTCGCCAGACAGACAGAGAGAGACATAGAGACAGAAAGCGAGAAATCACCCCCCAGGGGGGATGGTCACGCCGCAATCCCTTCTCCTCCATTCTCCTCTCGGGATCCTGGGCACGTACGCACACGTGCCCGGCGTGAGTTTTAAGCCACCGGGTCCGGGACGCGAACCACGGTCGACTACGTGGGAGTCCAGCGACATAGCCATTACGCTAACTGCTGGTTCCCAGTCATCATCTTCTTTGAGGCTCAGGTTTTTTCATCCGTAAAAAGTAAAGTCGAATCAGAAGAAGGAAGAGAAATGGAGCTAAAACTGTTGCGAAAACAAAACAGGATAACATACACAAGTGAAGAACATTTCCTAGGTAATAGCCAAAAGTCAGTCAGTGTCATTTACCTTCCTACACTCCCACTGCCCCAGGTTTCCAGTCCCATGGCACACATGGCAGGGGTGGGCACGGACTAAGGAACAGGGAACTACTCGACATATTTGATTTGCATGAAGGAATGCTGAAGAAGGCAAATCCATATGTCTCTTTAATTTTTTTTCCCAAATCTGGCTTACATAATTAGAATCATGCAAATAAATCACAAAGCTAAAAGCTTCGGAGAGTCTCAGTCCAAAGCCAAATGTGTCATTATCTAGAGATATCTGAGCAACGCCCTAATTGTCCATTACTCCACCTCGACTGTGCTGAGACAACTGCCAGTTTCAGAGGGTCTTAATCCCTCTGTGAAGGAAGGAAGCATCTACCATGTATCTACTATGCCCTAGGCATGTGCCAGGCATTCAGTCTGCATGCTTCACTGCATTGTAATTCTGATCCTGCACATGGTCTCTTTTCTCACTCTCTACTGAGTATCTTCCCTTTCTAGACTCGTTGCCCAATCTTTGGAAGTCAAGTTGAAGAGGGAGCGTCCTTCTCTCTTGAAATGTGGAGAGTACAATTAATGCAACTTGGATACTATGTAATCATAATTTAAAGATTTTACCATTTATATCATTTCAATGTGCTTTTCTAGATAATGTACCTTTCATCCGTGAAGGGAATAAAGTGGGAGTTAAGAACCTTGGTCTGGCAGTGACTTTACTATTGACTTCCACGTGTCCTCCATTTTTTAGCTATAAAATGGGCATGTTTATCTGGGATTTCCACTGTCCCACAAGGATATTGACCTATCAGTGTAAAGAAGTTTAACCTTCACTTTCTTTTTTTTTTTTTTCTTTTTTTTGGAGAGATTTTTCACTGTAGGGCGCGTGCGCTCGCCAGACAGACAGAGAGAGACATAGAGACAGAAAGCGAGAAATCACCCCCCAGGGGGGATGGTCACGCCGCAATCCCTTCTCCTCCATTCTCCTCTCGGGATCTTGGGCACGCACACACACGCGCCCGGAGTGAGTTTTAAGCCACCAGGTCCGGGACACGAACCGTGGTCGACTACGTGGGAGTCCAGCGACATAGCCATTACGCTAACTGCTGGTTCCCACCTTCATTTTCTTTAAGAGCAAAATAGAGATTGCGTAGAACAAAATCTTCCTTTCTGATCCCCAAGTTTTTCTTTCTACAAGCTGCCAGCAAGCCCAAGATCCAAAATGCTTCTTCTCACAGGCTTTCAAAAGCACAGTCCTTGGGCCATAAGGTAGAAAAATGAGTCCCAGTGTCGCCCAGGTTTTAAGCAGGGAGGAGATCAACGGTTTAGCCAATAAATAAACTCTCAGGCAGGTGAGCATGCTCACACCAGATTCACCAGATTCCCCCACCTCCAGCCCCACCTCACCCTTCCCCATCGCTTCTGCCCCTCACATACTGCCTTGGCAGCGTGTCTGCCTCACTTATAGCTTTACCGTCACAGTCCTTCTTGTGTTATAAGCTGTGTCCCTGGACTTCCGTAGGGCAGAATCAGGGTCATCTTTACCCTTGCCCAAATCTCCACCCCCTCCACATAGTCATCACGTGGCGAGTATGCCTATGATCACAACATCATTTCTGTGAGTTTTGGGTTGACATTGCCAGTTTTCCCTGATGTGTCAATGTGATGTGCGTGATGCTCTGAGTCTTCACAGCTTTCATGTTCCTGTTCAGTAAAATCCCGCTTGGGGCAGTTGTCTTGGGTTTCTGTCCCATCCTAGTCAGGGTTCTCTCTGCAGGTCAGTGAGGTCAGTCCTTCCCTCCCATGGACTCCACGGATCACTGGACAGAGCTGTTGAGTTCTCAAGCCATCAGGCTCCTCTGCCTTGAAATGGGAACCAGGTGTTTGGCATTAAACAACAAAACAAACCAAAACCTCTCATACGCTGCTGTAAAAGCCACGAAGTGTTCAATATTGGCAAGATACAAGTTCAAAAAACAGAGAGGGCCATCAGCAAGAGGCCCTGTTGACACCACGCCTCTGTACTGCCTGCTACCCTACCCGCGTGCAATCTGTCAGAGCTGGAAGGAGCTGCACCTGAGAGTGCCGCGGTTTGCGGGCTCCCAGTAGCACTCCATTGCTCCATATCTCCCTCCAAGGCATTTCTTTGTAAATGACAGCTTTATAACTGCTTACTCAGTCTCTAGACCTAGCCCTTGACTCCTCAGTGCCAGGCCTCCCCTCCCTTCTCACCCAGTATGGTCTTCCTAGTGCTTTGTTTTATTTCAGTCGATCCCTTTTCCTATAGCAAAACTAGGTGTTAATTTTAAGATGCTCTGGCCAAACTGGCTGTAACTGAGAAGCCAGGCTGACAGGCAGCCAGGTCTCTCCATGAAGTATCAACGCCCCTTCTGGGAAGGACCCCATCCTGAAATGAGGTGCTTCTCACACATACATATCAGGCTTATCAGGAAAGCAGGGACAGCCACTGCTCAGAAACAAGACAGACTCTAGAAACAGGAAGGAAGAGAAAGAAGACACTACCCAGCGCATAGCAGGGGCTCAACATA